AATGTGAATGGTCAAAAAATATCCATTTATAAATATTTATTGAACCCTATCATGTCCTGTATTGCCCTCTTGGAACTTGGAGCTTCTTCTAGTGAAAGAAGAAAAGTAGCAAGGAGACAGCAGTAATACTTAAGTATTTATATTTGTAGGCCAGGTTTTAGGGGTGTGAAAAGCAGCATCACTCCTGCTAGCACACAAAGTGCATTAGAGTCCTGGATTCAGTGCCCCTGGAGGGGGCAGCCAGCACCCTGAAGAACATGTGGAAGGCACAGGATAGCAGGCTGCCTGGGGGCTGATCGGGGGCCAGGTGTTTCCTTGACTCCTCTGTTGATAATTATTGGAGGGTTTAATTCCAAAGTCACGCCTGCATTTGCTTATTCATGCGTGTTGTGCACTCTCCCCAGTCACCAGAAGCGTGTCTTTGAGACGGTGAGAAACATCAACCAGGCCGTCAAGCAGAGGTCTCTGACCCCTTCCCCCATGAACATCCCTGGCTCTAACCAGTCCTCAGCAATGAACTCCCTCCTGTCCAGCTGCGTCAGCACCCCCCGGTCCAGCTTCTACGGCAGCGATGTTGGCAACGTTGTACTTGACAATAAGACCAACAGCATTATCTTGGAAACAGAGGCAGCAGACCTGGGGTGAGTGAGCTGGGAGTTTTATTTTTCTGGTTTGGAAGGCAGTTGAGGAATCATCAGAGGGAAGTTGGAGAGAGTCACCTGAAAGTACAGACCTTACTGGTCCTCACATCTGTTCAACCAACCTGCTGAGCACAGGCTAGTCCTCAGTATTGATATTTTACCAGTTTAATTAGGTATAACAAGGTGGATACCAGAAAGTCTGCTTTTCTGTAAACTGCTAGAGGGGAGGATTAATAATATTTTCTTCTGTTAATCTTCACTGTTAGACTACAGAATAGATGATTGTTTTGTGACCCCTTTGTACCTTGGATGTTGGAAAGGCTGGGGGAGACTCGGGCTATCTGGTTTCCTTCTGAAGGTGGGATGCAGGGAGTCAGGGCTCCTAAAAGTGTCCATCACGTTATGCATCTGTAGAGAGAGCTCTCCTCTGCAGTGGTCAGCTCCTCTTTGTTCTGAAGTGCTCCAAACCTCCCCTTCCACCAATATTATCCACTCTGTGAAGGCGTTTCCTTAATAAAATTGATTATTCTGGACTGATTGGGTCAGACAGATGGGAAGTCCCTGGATCAGAGCTGGTTTTTTGTTTGTTTGTTTTTGTTCTGTTTTTGTTTTTTTGAGACAGTTTTGCTCTGTCACCCTGGCTAGAGTACAGTGGTGGACTCTAGCACTCACACTCCTGAGCTCAAGTGATCCTCCTGCCTCAGACTCCTGAGTAGCTGGGACTCCTCCAGTGCAAGGATTATAGGCAGGAGCCACCACTCTGGGCCCCAAAGCTGGTTTTGTTCAGAGTTGAGCTTTCCACACCTTTGCTTCAGAAGGAAAGAGAAGCATCCCTTGAACCAGTTGGCCTTCTGGTGAGCAGGCCTGCAACCTGCAAGTTGCTTCCTGAATGTTCCTGAGGGACATGTTTAGAGAGACTGAACTTAGTCTGTGAAAATTTTCATTCCACCTTAGTCCCCACGGTTCCTTCAATCCCCTCAACCCAGCAGAGGGGAGTGGCTCTCCAGGGCAGGTGTTTGTCTCCTGTGAACCTGCACGGGAACTGCCCGCCTTGGTCCCCAGGTGCCCCTATAGCGGGCGGCCCACCCTCACACCCCTTTCTCCTTCCAGAAACCAGGAGCGGAGTAAGAAGCCCGGGACGCCGGGCACGCCGGGCTCCCACGACCTGGAGACGGCGCTGCGGCGGCTGTCCCTGCGCCGGGAGAACTACCTCTCGGAGAGGAGGTTCTTCGAGGAGGAGCAGGAGCGGAAGCTGCGGGAGCTGGCGGAGAAGGGCGAGCTGCGCAGCGGCTCCCTCACGCCCACCGAGAGCATCATGTCCCTGGGCACGCACTCCCGCTTCTCCGAGTTCACCGGCTTCTCCGGCATGTCCTTCAGCAGCCGCTCCTACCTGCCCGAGAAACTGCAGATCGTGAAGCCGCTGGAAGGTGACCGCAGCGGGCCGCGGCCCCTCTCGGCCCTGGTCGGCGACTCCCTGTGGGCGCTGCTGCACCTGCGGAAGGCGGGCCCGCTCTGCAACACCTACTCCTTCTTCTTCCGCGACAGCCACCCGCGCTGCTGGTTCGAGTTCCTCTGAGCCAGCCGCAGGGTGGACGGCGCGGGGAGAGGAGGGCGGGCGTCGCCTGCCTTAGAACCTTAGGAGTGAGAGAGCTGCCAGCTGACTCCAAAGTCACTTAGGGCCCGCCGGGGTGGGGGTGGGGGTCTGAGAAGGTAGACAAGTAAGGCTTTGCCTTGTCACACGTTTTGATGTCAGGTGCCAAGCAAACCCTGTGTGTGATTGACCACCTGAAAGCAGTTTGTGGGCTCAGATGTTCTGATTTGATCTTCAGGTAAAGAAGCTGTAGAGTCCAAAATTTGGAGGCTAGGAGGTAGGCGACTGTGGAGGGAAGGAGTTCTGAACCCCCTGCAGCTGCCCTTTTCCGGGGGCAGCTCACAGTTTAGTATTAGGGCTCCTCAGGTGATTGAACTCACGGGAAAACTCCCCTTGCTCTTCTTCCTTCCTTCCTTTTTTGGGGGGAGTCGCTTCAGGCTTTATACAGTATTTTCCCTGTAGCTACTACGCCCTACCTGGAGCTGCCGAGCATTTGCCTTTTTAATTTTTCCTTCCTTTAGTTTGGAAACCCCTATGAATTTGAAAAGGTGTTTTAGAATTCTCAATTACATTTCTAAAGCCAAATTAGAATTTCTATAAGGGAATATTTCTCGACTTTTTGTTGCCCCCTCTAAGGAACCTTTTTAGACATTTTTTTCCCCAATGTATCCCCTCATGAAATTTTAATAACACAGATATATCATTTACATGTATCTGTGCTCTGTACCTAAATATAATAGTTTTTTTTTTTTAACCTTAAAATAACCGGTTTTGTCCCCTTGGGGGCAGTATTGTTCCTGTTGAAACCACAAGCTATAGGATGATGTCATGCTTGATAAAGGCCCAGGACATGACCTGGTCCATCATCTCCAAAGCAAGGAAGAGTAGACTATTGAATTGTGTGTGATTCAGGCTCTTCCTAGAGTTCAGAAAAGAGACGGCTCACTCTTTTTAAATTGTCTATTCAGTCTAAGCTTGGTGATTGTTTGCCCATCCACACTGTGTCTGTTTTTCTTTCAATAAAATCTTTCATTTCTGCAATTTTACTTTCTGCCTTACTTTTCTTTGTTTCCTCCTTTGTCTCTTGAAGATCATTAGAATTTATCACCTCTATCTTGTCTGCCTTCCACATTTGATTCCATATTTCATTAGCTCATCTAAGAATGTGTTTTTGAGTTAATTTTCAATGCACATCTCAAGAAGAGATTTTTAAAAATTTGTTTTGACCAACTCATCTTTATTCCTTTTCATCTTGTGACTTAGGGATATTTCTGTGATTAGTTAATAAAAATAAGAGGCAATCCCATTAGACCTACAAGATGAACTTTATATATAGAACTCTGCTCCCCTGGAAGCTAAGTCACCACCATTAAAAGTCATGTTTTATCCCTGTGGCCTGTAATATATCCTCAGAAGTCTCTTTGTCTCCATTTTGTAGTTCTGTTTTCTTAGCTGTTTAAAATATAACCAATATTTTCTTTCTTCCCTCCCCTTCTCAATTATTTTTTGTGTTACTACACTATGTTAAGTCTGCTAAGGTAGGGTACTGGTGCAGCACAGCTCTTACTGCAGTGTTGGATAAGTTGCCCCACCTTTTG